GCCTTTTCACTTTTTCTTCTTCAGATTAACCCCTGTTTGTAGCTTACCTTGTATCAACAATTCAACATCCACATAAAAATTTTGATTTTCATTGGGATTTTACTTTGCCAGAGTTTCACCATTAATTTATTGGTAATTCCCCTAGCTACCCAAATCTGTACATACATCTGGTGGACTAAGCTCCTAATTTATCTAGCAATCCAAATATGAGAATCCTCTCCCTTTTACGATGTTATATTACAGCATTCCAACACCTCCACGAGTCTTTCCCATTCCCCATGTCCTCATCCCCAAGAGGCCTTCTATTAAAATCTAGTTTCCAATTAGACCCGAGCAAATTGAGCCCGGCCCAGCCTGAGATTGATAGGTTTTGGCACGCTCACGAACCCTAGTGGACAGGGCTTGGGCATAGATCGTGCTGTCCAAAAAAAAATTTCTTGGCCTGAGCTTGACCCAAAATGTTGTTTTTAGCTATTTTACACTATAAAATGCGTGGGTGGCCCGCCAATGCCTGAGCCCACCCCAAAAAGTGAGGCCTGACTTGCCCAGTGTCATGTGTGGGATTTTTTCGGCCCAAAATAGCTGGGCTTTTTTCGACTCGTCTTGCAAAATGCTAAGGTCTATTTCCAACCATCACCAGCCCAACATTCAGACACTAAGCATTTTTGTCTTCACAAAGATTATTGTATAATTCCGGGAACTTACAAAGGTTGAAAAAACATTAGCAGTTATAATCTTATATATTTCTCTTAAAATGAAATCCAATAAAAGTTTGATTGGGAGAGCTTTGCAATTCGATTTAACTCTAAATCTACAAATCCATAGTGAATTAGATCAACAAGGACAAATTTTGCGCATATGCTTATCCGGGTACTTAGCTCTAAGACAATATTAATCAAGGTAACATAACGTTTGTTTATTATCTTAGGTCAGAATATATCTACTTGTATGTGTAATTTGCACTACCAATAAATAAACCATGCTTGAACATAATTATTATCATGGATTAAACATCAACACTCAAGGATCGAGATTGGTCTAATTGATTATTATTCTGGTGCCCCATGAGGTTTTGGTGATTTTGATTCCAACATGATCACTAGGAGTGCAACATGGTAAATTTCATTAGACAAAATTTGCTAACGGACACTGAAAGTGGTGGTCGTTTCTGCTGGCAGTTTCATTAGACAAAATTTGCTAACGGACACTGAAAGTGGTGGTTGTTTGCTGGCAGACAATGGAGCTATTTGCTGGAAGACGCTTTTGTTGCTGGCAAACAATGGAGCTATTTGCTCGAAGACACTTTCGTTGCTGGCAATTTTACTACAGGGCACCGCGCCCTTATTTTATTCATTTCCACCGGTTGAAAGGAAAGTGTCTTGTAGCAAAATTGCCAATAAGGAAAGTGTCTTGTAGCAAATAGCTCCACTTTCGGTGTCCGCCGGCAAACGACCACCACTTTCGGTGTTCATAAGCAAATTTTGCCATTTCATAAGAGGAACATCAAAGAAAAATCTTCTCTGAGTGACCGATATGGTTTCTTTGACATAGGAAACTGAACACTATGTTATTGTAGCATATCGTTTCAGGAGGCGAAGTTGTTGCTAAATTAAGAAATAATAACTAGACTCGCTGTACATAAAGTAGCGGCACTCACTCGAAATTTTCCTTATGAAAACACTCTTATTTTTTTCCCTAAATGCTTGTTTTCGAGCATGCAATATTTTGTTTTATACAGACTGCACACACTAGACTTCAAGGAAGAAAAGGGAAAAAAACAATTCACTTTCTGTAGTGGAATAGCTGGAGACGAAGTACTTGCTAGCATTAAGGCTTGGGGTGTTGGGGTTTTGGGTTTTTTGAGGACTGCCATGGCTAACGGTCTTAGAAGGAGTTGTCGGGAGGCCGCTAGGCTGAAGGTGGCAGCGGTCAAGACGGTGAAGTAGAGGTCCATTGGGTTGTGCAACTGGCGGCGACGGCCATATATGGAGAAAACAGTTGGAATTAGCGAGGGAGGTGCCGATGGGAGACAGTGGAGTTGAGGTACTCAAGCTAGAATCGGAGAAGATGGTGGAATTAGCTACAATTGCGACGGTGGACGACAACGAAGGTTGTGATGCCCACTACTACATAAATGATTTCACAAGACAGGCTCCTAGGATTTTCATAGACGGGCGCAAAGTCTATGTGTCTCCTAAAATATGTAGCAATTTTCGGAGGTAGACAAACAATTTTCAGAGGCGCCAAAAAACGATTGTCTTTGTAAATTCCTTAACAAAGGCGAGTCTCTTAAAGATCCGCCTCTAAAATTGGTAGCCATTTTAAGAGGCAGACCTCTTAAGAAACCCTCCTTTGTTACTGGGCCGAGCCTGTTACCAATTTGTGTGGCTCATATCGGCCAGATACCACCCTGGGAGTATACATATATAGGCACCTAGGGTTTCTTGTCGTTCTTACTTCTCTCTTTCTCTAATCTCTGTCCACTAGAGGCACCGGCGTCACTTTCTCTCGTGATGTGGCACTCGCGCGACCGGCGACGACGCTCGCGCAGAGGACCCGGTGGAGCTCGTCACGGCGGATCCAGTGGTGGGAGGGCGGATTCGGTGGTGGGAGAGTGGATCCGGTGGCAGAAGGCGGATCCGACAACACGAGGGCTGATCCCAGGGCAGCGCATGAGCACGTCTTCTAGTGTCGCTTGTGCGAGTAGGATTGGCGGCGGCGGCATACGAGCGGGCCTAGGAGTGGGCTCACCAATGGTCTTGTGCCTTTTTCAATCTATTAGCAAATATGCTCGTGTGTTGCAACCGGAGAAAAAATTATCAAACATTCATGGAGAACAACGATAGAAATTGTACATATTATTTATGTTTTGCTATTTGTAAAATTTAAAAGTTATAATTTATTTTGTGATAACCATGACATCAAAATATAAGTTAATGTTGGCAACAATATGATAGTGTATTATTAACCCTGACTTAAAATACAATCTTGATAGAATTTTTTCTTTTATTGCAAAGCCCATAAATATTTAGACATATATATAATATAATTTTAATTGTCATTCTATCCATGTGTTGCTATATTTCAAGTAAACAAATAGCCGTTTACAGGGGCTATAACTGTTTTGAGCGGTATGTCGCTATTTGTAGCATGTTTAGTTTAGTTGTTTTAGCCTGCTATAGCTCTTTATAGCAGACTCTTAACCTCAAGATAGCCTTGTTGCTAAATATCAATAGCCCGCTATTTATTACATTGCTATCGATTCCCATGACCTTTGAGGACCCATACAAATCTATAATTTTGATGTTTGATTAAAGTCAACAAGGAGTTAGTTGCCAACGTGTTAAAGATTGGTGTGTCCGCTGGTGATTACGACCAGAAATCTCTCTTGATTTTTCATATGCTAGCCCTCATCGGTGATTGAAGAGATACATTTATTTAGACTGGATTAGACAATAAACTACTTAAGTTTTGTGTTCACGTTTGATTAGTTAAACCATCGACTAATTCAGATTTGAATAAAAATAAGATTCTTACCAAATTATGTTAACAACTTGGCAGTCAAAATCTTTATTTCTATGATATAAGAGAAAAATCAATGGTTTAGAGGTTCATAATATTTATTCTATAACGAAAGTTCAATGGAAAAAAAATCACTGAGAGGACAAAGAATGCAACAAAAAAAGATCTAAAATAAAGAAATCGGACGGAAGGCATACAAAAAAAATCGAATGTAAGCTGAAGCTCACTCAAAGGAACGTGAAGAGAAAAATATTTTTTTTTATTAGACTGAATGGGATTCAGAAAAGAGGTCCGGGGACATCAAACCAAAACAAAATTTGAAATACGGGTGGGGAACAGAGTTGGACACACACAAAGGAACGGAGGAAGAGAAAATATTTTTTTATTAGACCCAAGCTGAACGGGATTCGGAAAAGAGGACCAGGGACATCAAGCCGAACAAAACTTGGAATACTGAAGGAGATCAGAGTTGACAAAAAAAAAATATGACAGAAATTTTACCTCTTTAGTATTATATATATATATATATATATATATATATATATATATATATATATATATATATATATTCGGAGGCGGCCTCCAAATAAAGATGATTAACACAGACGTAGAGCCCAGACGGGCCTGTCTTCGGAAATCATATCTAACCGCATCCGAAAAGCTTTTAGATGGTAGTGGCCCGAGCTGAAGGGAAGGTGAAGAGGCCAGTGGAGCCTAGTGGAGGAAGAAGAAAAGGTAGATGTAGAGGAGAGGTGAGCAGGTGAGGGTGCTAACAGGTCCACGGGCACGGACTAGTAATTTTTTCTTAAATGCTAATACATGTTCCAGAGTAATGGCTCTTAGTAGAGATTTGGCACAAGACTCTTTCCGGAGAGTTAAGATATTTATGAAAGAAGAATGGGCAGCCAAAATATAACCCACGGTGGGAGTTAGAGCATCTCCGAGAGCTGTTCTAAAAGAAGTAGCCAAATTCTATTATTTAGCCATTATGTAAAATACATGTTTCAGAGTAATGGCTCTTACTATTCATAAGTTCCACTACCCTAGCAAATTGCCTATTCAAGTTCACCATTTTTTTTCCCAAAACCATAATGAAACCGTAAATCATGTATGTATCCCTTGTGACAGGTTAAATAAGGTGCTCAAATGGCACCCAAGAGTATTCTGCAGTGAATTGCCATGAACGTCAATTCCACGAGGCATTCGAGTCAACTTGTGGCGATTAAATAACTCCCTTGAACACCATCATACGGTATCCTACACTGTACAAGCAATCTGTTACACTCTCATATGGTGCAAACAATGTCGGAGCGAGCAAGATGCAACGAAAAAATGTTGACACGAAATTCTGAAAAGATGGTTTCCATATGTGAAAGCTACATCACCAGACACGATCAACAGACGTACGCAAAAGCGAGAACAATACATATTCAGTGATGAGTAAGGGGAGCGGCTGGCTCGATCATTTGGTGGTTAGATTAGATCCTCTTGGGAGGCCTCTGATGCCCGTGGCCTGATGCCCTGGGAGCCTTGTCGAGCAGCAGCAGCAGCCCCACATTGTTGCCGCACTGCCCAATCGGGTACCTGCCAACCATCATACCATCGGTGGCGAAGAACTTTAGTACGAAGCAAAGACGGAGAACAGCAGCGTGTGCAATGGAAGGAAGGGATTCAGGAACGGGATAATTAAGGAAGAGGAACTCACTTGACGCGGGATGATTTCCTTCGCCACCACATGATTGATGTAACCCACTGGAAGGGATGGAGTCAAAAGCAAGCAAATTAGCTTCTGTTTTCATTTCAAGAATCTTTTTAGGTTGGAAGTAGCCTTAAAACAGGGATAAAACAGAGATTACCTCGACCACTGCAGCAAAGAGTGATGGCTGCCTCTTCACCACCTTCCTTTGCATAAGCACCGGCGGGTGCCGTGGTGGTCGCACAGTGACGGTCATGGCCGGCTGCGTGTTGCCCCCTTTGTAGAAGCTCTGCTGCGCCACTGCCGCCGCTGGAACCGGTGGTGGCGCCGCCTCCTTGCAGAGCTTCTGTGCGATCTCCTTGAGCAGCATGACCTGCGCCTTCTCGGCCCCCATGGAGATGATGGCCTGCCTCATGGACTCACGGTCCGCCTCCAACGCCTGCATCCGCGCGCTGAGGCGGCGCACCTCCTCGTCTTCCGTCCACGGAGCACCGCCGTAGCCGCAGTCGCTCCCCATAGGCGTGCCACCGCCGCCGTAGGAGCCGCCCTCAGGAACCGCCAGGGGTGCCCCGTGAATGGCGTCCACGGTGTATACCCGGTCGCTGGCGCCGCAATCGTCGTCCGGGAAACAGTCGCCGTCGTTGTACAAGTCGAGGCTGTCGTCCGAGTAGGCGCGTGCGTGGCGCGGGAACGTGGATCCCGGTGCGACGCGGATGATGGGCGTCGTGTTGGCGGCGGCCACCGGGGTCGCGCCGCGCTCGAGGAGGTGGACGCGGTGGGCGAGGCGGGTGAGCTGGTCGTGTGGGGTCTCGAGCGCGTCTGCCTCGGACGCGGTGGGCGGGTGGTCGATGCAGCACCGCAGAGGCGGGTAGTAACCTCCGGCTCCGCCTCCGGACGACGCCGTGGGGACGGCGAGGAGGGCGGGTGGCGCGGCGTGGCGGAGGGGCGGCGCGGGGTGGAGCCCCCCGTCGACGGCGCGGCACCGTAGGGTTGGCGGGGCGTCTGGCCCTGGAACGCCCGCGTCCCGGCGGCCTCGCGCTTGGAGAGCGCCTCCTCGAGGGCCGCGAGCTCGGTGGCGTCGTGGGCCATCTTCTCCTCGGCGTAGCGGCGGAACTGGCGTGCCTCCATCATGGCCTCGGCCTTCTCGCGCTGCAGGCGGAGGATCATGGTCATGGCCTCGCTGGCAGCGCCGGCCGCGGCCCCGCGCTCCGCGTCGAGCTCCGCCTGGACGTCGCTGAGCGTGGCTTGCTGCCGCGCCAACGCCTCGCGCAGCGCCGCGGCCTCGTCCCCGATCTCCACCCGCACCACCGCTGGTGGCGCCTCGGGTACGGGTGGGGTCCTCCGCTTCAGCGGCGGCCTCGCGGGGGACGTGTTGGCCGGCGCCACAGACGTCGGCGGGGAAACGGAGAAGGAGGCGGGGTGGCCGCATAACGGGCAGAGCGAGGGAGGGGGCTCGCCGACGTCAGCCATGGCGGGGGCGCGGGACGGGACATGTGCATCCGCGGCCGTGGGGAGGTGGCGCGCGGGAGGAGTTAATTTTTGGGTTTCTCGCGACTTGCTGTTTTGGACGGTTGTCTGCTATTTTTAGGACATGGTTTTGGTCTCTTCTTTGGCTGGCCGTAGAAAAAAGGACAGATAGAGGACCTAGACAATTTGGGTGGGGGCCATCTGGTTCTCAAAAAGATTTTTCAGAAATACTATACAACACACGTATGTTTTAGCGCAAAAAGAATACATAGATTTTTATGTATCTATGACGTCTGGGGCCCACATGTTATAACGAACCCATAAACACCTCTGCGATCTGTGATTTGTACTTCTATAGAAAAAAAATATTTCTTGTGATATGTGATCTTGTGATTTGTGATTGTCTGGAGGTAGAAGAAGGCTAGATGCTGGAGCTAGAAGAAAGGTGGAGGCTGTTGATCTTAATCCTATGGTGCTAAAAAAATTTATATGTTGAAACTGCATAAAATACATGGTTGTGTAATAGATAAAGTCAAGATTTTTACCTCGAAACCAAGAACTTTTTTTACTCGAAACCAACAACGTGTAAATGCTATAGGTAGAATACAACAATCGGAGAGACTAGCGTCAGGACACCGCGCCTTCTATCGGTCCATTTTCAATAATATACCTCAGGATGCCTATGGATGCACATTTGTCCTCCGCGCCTGTTGTCTACCCATAGATACAACTTCGTGCTCTGCTTCGCCTCGTGCTCGACGCATGTTGCCGGCCCATGGATGTAGCTTCGTGCTCCGCGCCTGCTGCCACGCCCATGGATACAGCTTTGTGCTCCACGCCGCACCCGCTTAGCTTCCCGCGCGCACACGGGGACCGCTACACCCGAGGGGACCACCTTCGCATGCGCCCCCTTGCTGCGCATGCTTACGAAACACTTGCAACATAAAGCATTTGCTGCAACATATGTCCAAAACAGATGAAACATTTACAACATACGTTTGCAGCATATGTGCATGGGCACTGCAACATATGCAACATCCAAATAAAACACTTGCAACATACGTTTAAAATAGCTGAAACATTTGAAACACACACTTGCAACATACGTGTATAGCTAGTGCAACATATGCAACATCCAGATAAAACACTTGCATCATACGTCTGAAACAGCTGAAAACATTTTAAACATTCACTTGCAACATACCTGTATAGTCATTGCAACATATGCAACACCTGATCTACTTTTGCAATACCCAGATGAAACATATGCAACATACATCTAAAATGCATGAAACATACGGTTGCAACATGTGCTCATCTACTTGCTGCCGCCCAATGGACGCTCGTTGACGTGGAAATTGACGCCGACACATAGTTCGATGCCACGGCACAAAGGTCGGACCTCGGCTATGCACAGCGCGAGTCTGGGCCGGAGGCACGAGGTGCGGTGGAGCGCGGTGCGAGGCGTAAGCGGCCCGCGGCGCGGGCGACGTGAGGCGAGAGCAGCGCATGGTGCGAGACACAAGGCGCGGGTGGGGGCGTGAGACACAAGCCGCGGCTAGGGCGTGTGAGGCACGAGGCCACGGGCTCGCGAGGCATGAGGGCAGGTGGGTCCGTCCCGTCCGGCCGGCCGGACGCTCTAGGTAGAGAGCATTACGGATGTAAAGTTCTTATACACACCGATTGAAAACTAGGGACGACATCGATGAAAGACCAACTGACAGTGGATCGTTTTAGAACCGAGGAATGTTGCACAAAATGATATATTAGTGTATATAATTGGTAACGGAAGTGAAGTCCACATTCCAATTAATAAAATCCTAACGGTCTTGTAAACGCAAATAACCCATTTATCCTAATATGAGTAGTTACTAGCACAAATATAAAAATGAATTTAGAAGACAAGGATTTTTATTTTTATTGACGGTCATTTGACCGAACATCTCTTTTAATAATTTTAGAAGATGTTGCCCGTTTCTAAAAATTGATTTTTAGAGATGGATTTTTTAAGTGCGCCGTCCCTATTTACAGAGGCGGCATACTTAAGAAGCCTACCTCTAAAAATCAATTTTCAAAGAAGGGCATCTTCACGAGCCACCTCAGGAAATAAGGCCCAAGGTCCATAAATATATACAAGTAATTAATCACATCCTTCTTAACCCTAGCTGTCACTCTCCTCTGATGTTCCTTTTTGCATTCTTAAGATCTAGTGGAGTCTATCTAATATATATTAGTCGTAAACTCTTAATAATTAGGTTGGTGCTGATGATTAGTGTCTATGAAATTAAAGACCAGATGTTTTGATTATCGTAAGAATTTATATGATTTATTTACTTTTAATCCCACATATATTAGTCGTGACATCTGGCATGTGCCAATCAATCAAGACCGTGGAAAACTAACAAAAGAGAGCACGCATGCAATTTGCGTGACTATTGTGGCACACACTCAGTACTTGTTTGTTGGAAACAACATTTTTCCTTCCTGCATGTTTTTCGTAGACTTACAAAACAAGTAAAACAATGTGAACGTACAAACAAATTAACAATGCTCTCGTTATGCACACACCACGGCATAATAATAGTGTATATTGTGAAATAATAGTTTCAGGACTGACCTAAAATGAATGGTTGATATGTACTTCGTTCTAATTTATGGCTCCTTTTGGCTTTTCTAGCTAGATACATAATTTTATTATGTATTCAGATATATCGTAGATCTAGATGCATATCAAAAGCTACGTAACCTAAGATGATTTATAATTTAGGACAGAGGGTGGTACTTGATATCTATGATCTATAAGCATGTTCGCTTGGTCGTAAACGATCGTGGATTATAAGCCAGAACAACATTTTTCTCTCACACCAAACCAGCCAACAGTAATAATCCACGATCGTTTCAGCACCAGCCGAACAGGATTGTAGCTGCCGCATACCTTGTTTTACTTCTCTGAATGATAAAGCATTTTGCCTCGCACGTTTCGTAGACATGAATGAAACAAATAATTATCAATGCCCTTGGACGCTTTCCGTAGACACGGAAGAAATCAGATGTGAAACACTATAATACAAAAGACAATTGCTACTTAATAAGCTATACAACAGTGCATTGAATTGTAGCTTCAAACCAGTGTTTAACAAACACACGTTCGGAGCTTATTAACTAGCAGTAGCATCCTTCTTGCTCTGCATAGCTACATTCGACTCGAATTCTTCTTAATTATTCGTTTCAACTATCTTGGAAAAGCAGGGTAGTGCTGCAATGTATCCCACCTCCATTTGGCGTTCCTCGCCGTTGCTCTGCCTGCCATTCAATCAGCAAAGCTGGCAGTGGCAGAGGACCAAGGTGAGGTCGCTCTAGCTCAGCTTCGTGACATCAACTACGTCACACTACAGCAGTTTTTTCTTGAGCTGCGTGGTGACAAGGGGACTCACGGCCTCAGGTCAGCAGTCTCCACCCTCTGCAGCCCCGGTTTCCGGTTGCCGGCGCATCAACCTCAGGCATCATCGGCTCCAACACTGGGCCTCTTTGACGTCGAGGAGCTCCGCTGGGATGCTTGTTGGAATATATATGGGCTTGGCCCAATAGAAATCCTAAATATTTATCAAATATAAATCTCAAAGATCCGTTTATGTGTGTATAAACTGTATATAGGGGAGTGAAGATAATTTAGTCCTACTTTACTCGTGGAAGTGGAAGTTGCAGTACTTATGGCCTGTTTGTTTAGGATTCCTAGGAGGTTTTGGACCTTAGCTATCAAAAGCCAAACAGAAGCTTTGTTTTTTTTGGAAAGTCCAAATTCTAGTAGTCCAAAAGCTCAAACAAACAAAGCCTAAATATGAATGCCATGACACTTACGTGAATGGTTTTTTGAAATCCGATCCGTGGCTTCGTGGGAGTGCAGCTTCCTTTTGTAGTTTTAGTTTTCCTAAACAGTTTAGATTGTGACCGTGATACGAGAATGTGCTAGACAATCCTATATAAACAACCTAGCGACCAACGCTAGAACATATCTACTCAAGTTAGGGTTTTGTCTCTTTCCACTGCTGCGCTGGCCATCATAACTTCCCCACCTCGAGTGCCTACATGCATCGGCGGCCGGGAGAGTAGGTCTTCGGAACTCTCATCCTTGTAATCCTGCACCAAAGAGTGGACAAATAAGGTTTTTGGAAAATACTTTCCACGCGAGTTCTCCCATCCTCTTCCACAACAACTCGTACAAGGGCGCATTGACACACCGTGATCTGATCTATTATTATGTCAGCATGCCTATTGGTTCAATCATTTTGCTGCTTGCTGCGATTCGATATATTATTTCAGCATGTCTACTGGTTCAATCATGCTGCTGCTTGCGGTGATGCTGTTCATGCTGTGTGGTCAACTATTATGTTAAGGTTATACATGCTAGCATCTGAGATCGTCATGATTTATATTCCAAGATTAATCATGAAAGTCCCTACTTATTCAACAATCCAAACACCTTATTGTAGGCCTTTTCCTGAACTAACCATGACTGGTTTTGCTAATGCACTGAGACCGGAAAAAATTATCAGTGTGGACTTTAAGAGGTGGCAAGTCAAGGCCATGCTCTAGTTGCAGCCATGAAAGTATTCTAGTTGTGTGTTGATAGGTCCGAAGGAAATATCTCTAATGAAGATCAGAGAAAATTCGAGGATGCCAACACTATCTTTGTGGAATGCGTTCTTAGCGTTCTTGCTGACCGTCTTATAGATGGGTACATGCACATAAAAATCGGGAAGAAGTTGTGGGATGAACTGCAAAATTCGGTGCATCAGATGAAGCCATGCAGACAATGAGCTATACATCATGGTGAGCTTTCATGACTATAAGATGGTGGGTAACCGATTTGTAGTCGAGCAAGCTCATGAGTACAATGCAAAACAAAGGAACTTGAATTTCTTAAGTGTGTCATACCTAACAACTTTGTGGCTGGGTGCATTATTGCAAAGTTGTCTGCTTTATGGAGGGGCTTCGCCACAACT